GATCCTTTAGTTCGTTATTAAGAGCACCGATTTCGTCCTACGTTGATTCTCATGATTACGTTCACCGACAGCTGATATTTTTAACATTCTTATCCTATGGTAAAGTTTGCCAGGCTAGCCGGACCATGTCAAACCATTCGTTGCAGGGTGTACTTGGCGAAGGCGGCAGAGTCATCGACACACTCTGTAGTAACGATGGCGTTTTTCTCGTTCCCATATAACTGTAAAAAAATCAAGATCTATGGTCTGTTTCAACATTAGCGGTAATTTAGCGACAGACTCAATACGTGACTTGTTCTCAGGTATGAAACCTTGGAGCCTCCTCTCATCGTCGCAGAATCGCACTCGAAGTTCTACAATGTCTGCTCTTTTCTTGTGGTAATTCCATACAGTATGTTATGCTCACCATACACTCTGGCGTTACCTCGTCTTATGTCTCTCTACAGAGTGTTCCACTTTAACTTTCACATTGTAATAACTCGAAAACATGGTGTTTTTATAAAAAAATGTTTCAAATAAAAGTTGTAAGGTTTGTAGATTTCCCCTCTTGGCCAGGTTACTGTCCTTGTGACGGGCGCGGTATGTCATAATTAAACTTATAGCATTTTTTACTAGCACAGGTTTACTCGCTCCGAGAGCGATTAAACCCAATTTCCGATTGAACATATGTTCAACCCGAAATGGTTTTCATCTGACCTAGGTTCTAGTTATAAAGCAGCATTAAAGTAAAATTAATTCCTTTAAGTATTTTATTTTGATTCTTTTCAATTTTTTATCAGATATTAAGATATTAACTTATTACCAGACTAACAGTTAAATAAGTTTTATATAATTGTTTCTCAGTATATTTTCAGATGCCTTTCTTTAAAAAAAGTAATAGATCGAACATGGATCGAGTTTTGATTATTCCTAGGCTGCGTTACGTATACATAACGTATACTATAGATCGGCCGAGCCGCCGATAGCTCTGGTTCAGGAGCGTTTTATATAAGAAATAGGCTGGGTTGTTGAGGCACCTCTCAGAAAATAGTAATATTTTTTTCGCTACATAAATAATGTTTATTTTCATTAATAATTAAATATATATATATTATGTATTAATGAAAATAAACATAAATAAACGCTTCTGAGCCAGAGCTATCGGCGGCTTGGTCGCCAGCAGCAAGGCGGTAGTGGGGGAACAGGAGGCGTCGTCTCGGGAATCGGCTCGAAATGTGCAACTAATTCCGAGCGCTGCTATAGATACATGCGCGCATATGCGCTTTACGGAACGCAGCCCTAGTAATCCAAAATGGAACCTAGTTACCTCAGGATGGAACTTGGTACGTCATTATTCGCTCTCGGAACGAGTAAACTTGTGCCAGTTGAACTCGCTATTATTTTGTTAATAACTTGAAATAGTCTGCCTTTTTCCTCCAACGCTCAAGCTAGCTTTTTGGAGCAAAGGAGTTGGTTGAAACACGGGTTGAAATAAGACTCTCGATTTTAAAAAACAATAAAGAAAATAATAATTTATCTAATAATAACTAATATAGTTTCTAATAATATAAGATCAATGTTAGAAAGAAAAGAGTACGCGTGCGTGTGTGCGCGTACGCGCGCGCATGTGTTGCGTGGAATAACGAATACGTGTACTCGTACGCTGGAAGCTAAAAAAGATTTGAGAACGCTGGCAAGAGCACAAAAACTCTTATGCAGGGAGCGGAATCCAGCAATGGGCTAGATATGATAGAAAGTCATACAGTCGACCCGTATTTATACGAATATACAGGGTATCCGCAAAGGCCGAAGCTAAACTTATGCAATGTATTAAACCTTATGTGCACACCCGGGGTACCTGGGTACCCACCTATAGATTTTCTGGAATATTTACTTTTTAAGAAGAAGCAATTGTTCCTATGAACTTTTACACGATAATTGTAATATGAAAGAAGAGATAAAAGACCTTTTCCAAGTATATAGACTAATTTAGCTTATACAAAAGATCCCTTGAACAGCAACTATGAGAATAAATAGTTTCAAATAAATTTTACATTTTATACGTTTTGATGATTTCAATAAGCGTTAACAACGCTTTCGTAAAGATAAAGCTGTTCCTATACGCGATCTATAGAATATGCTGAATGCAAATTTATGTACGATGTACAGGCCTACAGAAAATTTAACAATTGACGAGTAACTTTTTCCTTTTCGAGGTAGAACTAAATTCACTCAATACATCCCATTGAAGCCAGCCAAATATGGAATAAAAGTTTGATGGATATGTGACGCGGAAAACTCTTATCCGCTGAAGGGTTTGATTTATACGGGCAAAACGAGGAATGTACGTAAAGTTAACCAGGGCGAAAGAGTCGTGAAAGAGCTCGCAGTTTTATACAGAGGATCCGGTAGAAACATTTGCATGGACAATTTTTTTACGTTATTGCCGATCGCTAAGCATTTGCTTTCATGGAATCTAACAATTGTTGGCACTTTGAAGAAAAACAAACTTTATATACCTAAAGCAATAACAAACGAAACTTCAAAGTGTAATATGCGCTGATAGCTAACTTGCATATGACAACGCGCTGCGCACAAGATGCAGCGATTATCTATAAGGGTGTAATGTGGAAGGGATGCTTTAGCAACACTTTTAGTTAACTTTTCTTCCTCAAATATGTGATAACATGTCATTTTTATATTTATTTAACGACTATTGCGCAACACAAGTGCAATATAAACGATGCGTCATGCAGCGCGACGCATATAGTGTGATACTGATGACTCATTTTTGAAAGATGCAATTTCGGAACACAATAAAATCATATATAATTGAATTCAGCGTAAAAAATGCTACAACTTTTGTCATTACAAAAATTTTGAAATTTGAAAAAATAATAACAAAAAGTGGGGATAAATTAAAAAAATTACATTTTTTGAAAATTCAACTACACAGTTATAAAGCCCATTACAAGCCATACAACTTCTATTTGAAACATTTTTTGATATCTCTTACGGTTTTGGCGATATTTACACACAAAGAAAAACCCCGTTTTCTTCAAAGGGGTGTTTCACCCCTTAAATTTGAGTTAGAGCCGCTATAAAAAAATACGTGTCTCCTCAAATTGTATGTTTTACAACATATTTCAAGGAGAATAAAATCGGGGAAGGGGGACACTTGTGAAGGTTTTCTTGTAAGTGAAAAGCTCGCCATGCCGATAAGTGAAGATCGCTCTCAAAATCTGCAAATAATGAGAAATTATTCTACAAAGTTGGCAGTTGAGAGCATCCTCAACAGGCAAGTTTTTTCTGCCGAGCTTCCTTCTGGATCTCAGCCGCGGTTAGATCACACCGGCAGAAAAGTGGTAACTGGCTCCTGTTATATTTGCTATAAACAAACAATAAAAAAACGCAGGAAAACCAGAAAATTTTGTGTAGTTTGTAGCAAACTTGTATGTGATGAGCATGCGGTAACGATGACTCAATGTAAAGAATGCGCTGAATGAGTGAATAAATAAATAAAAATTTATATTTTTTATTTCAAAATCATTTGTTCTTATTTATTTAACAACCTCTGTCATGATACTAAATAAAAATTGTACGATTGAGTAAGAAATTATACAGAAATCATACAATCCTATGCATGGGTACCGGGGTACCCCGGGTGTCCCTGTCGAGTTGATTAAATTAACGCAATAATTCTCTTTATTCCTAACAAAAAAAAAATCTGGAAGCATATTTTGATAGAAAAATGGTAAAAACACGACGATCCAGGCGGATTTAGAAAAATTTTCATTGGAACATAAACAATTTTCAAGAAATGTGCGCCAGTGGGTATCTGGGTACCCAGGTGTGCACATAAAGGTTAATGATGTCGAATAGGTGAAAAAAGTTCATATAAACTTATATTCGAAAATGCTTTATTAAAAGTTATAAACATTCAAAGATTTATGAACAAAATTGTTTAGTAATTATTCAGATTAGGTTACACTTCACTGATTCTTCTATCGCTGAAATATGTTGTAGGGAAAATTTTTCTGAATAAATCTCCGCAACAATCATATGAGGGACGGCATTGGTTGCAGAGATATAACAAATTGAATTGATATAACAAATTGAATTCTGTAAAAGTATTTAATTCCTTCTGTAGTTAAATACCTTTACAGAACATGCGTAAATTAAATTTGTTATATCTCTGGCCTCGACTTTTGCGGACACCCTATATATCTGCCAATTGCCGAGAATCGACAGGTAAACAAGTCTCTAGAGATGGCCTTCCCACCACTGCTCAGCGATGGCGAGACGAACCATTCTCGCAAAAGTCCGCGATGATGGAGAAATTATCGGCAAACGTCTGTTATGCCCGAATGGATGGTCGATCCGGATAATTGTGCCTCTAATGCACTATTACAAACTTTTTAATAAACAATGACCTACAGCTAAAACTTTTAAAAACATCTCAGGATAATGATCTTAATACATCAAGGTCAGGATCACTGGAAGGTTCTTCTATTCGACAGCATTACTTTAAAATTTTCTATACAAAATAAAGTCTGTATTGTTTGATGTTTTGGAGTGCAACGAGGTCTATAACTATATAGTTTTATATGGGTTCACAAAGTTTCACTTAATACCATCTAATTACAAACTTTAACGTTTCTTTTTATATCTAATTCGGATTGTGTTATGTTAGATTATAACTTTTATATATTCAATTAAAAAGTCATACAGTCGACATATCTGATTGTAACTATCGATTGTAACTATTGGGATTGTGTTTGATCAAACTCTGATCTATAATCTGTGATGATAAATTCCGTACATATATAAAATTCACTTATTTTTATCTTATGCAATATGCAAAGAAATAAATTAGTTATTTTTTACATATTATAACTCGTATCTAACATAATAAAATTATAAAATATATTAAAAACTCTCTTCTTTTTAGATTGGTAGATTAATAGATAAATTGTAAATCTTGATTAACTATCATAAAATCTATTTGTATTCTATTTTAGATATTAGGTATTACAAATCCTAAAGGCAAAAAACGTTACATTGCTGCCGCTTTTCCAAGTGCTTGTGGTAAAACAAATTTGGCTATGATGCAGCCTACTTTACCGGGTTATAAAATCGAATGCGTAGGAGACGATATCGCATGGATGAAATTCGATGATAAAGGATACTTACGTGCTATTAACCCAGAGAATGGATTTTTCGGGGTCGCTCCTGGCACGAGCTCAGCTACGAATCCTAATGCTATGAAAACTATTTTCAAAAATACCATTTTCACTAATGTAGCATCTACTAGTGATGGAGGAGTATATTGGGAAGGAATGGAAAAAGAACTTGAAGATAATATTAAGGTATAAAGGACGAAAGACTGTGTATAATTATTAGAGTAACGTATGTATAATTATTAACTACTAGTTTTAGACGTAACTATGTACTAAATTATATACGTACTGGAAGATATCTTTCCATATAAACTTGCAGCTACAAAGAAGAAAATTTCATTGCTCTGTCCCTTTTTTTGTGTTATAAATACAATACATTAATAATTACTAGTTTTGATAATGATTGTAAATGTGATAGTGATTAAAAATAAAAGCTTTTAGTATGCATGCAAAAAAGAAGAAAGCGATAAGATTATTTTGCTTAAGAGATGGCCACAACTTTATATGCATGCATTCCAGTATGTACATTAGAGTGGAACGAAAAAAGTGAATTTTGAGATATCGTTTTACAACTTGGGGAAAAGTTGCCTCTCATATGCAGTAAACAACGTGTAAAATTTGAACAAAATCGGACATCTCTCTCTATAAAATATAAAACATTGATCGTTTTGGGGGAAAGAAGATGTCTGATTTTGTTTAAATTCTATACATCATTTATTACATATGAAAGACAACTTTTCTCCAAATTGCAAAACAATATCTCAAAAATTTTTTTTGTTTTACCCTTGTAATTTTAAAACTGTGGCCGTTTTAAGGCGAGAGAAGATGTCCGATTTCATACCTAAAAAAAATAAAATTTTGCATTGTTACTGCATATGAGAGGCAACTTTTCCCTAAGTTGTAAAACAATATATTAAAATTTACTTTTTTTGTTCTACCTTAATGTACATACAACATTCCAATATGTATAAAGATGCATTTCAGTATATGTATATACAATAATTTAGGATACAATCAATAAAAATATATTTATACATGCAATACACATAAAAACGAATATTTTTGATATTATTTAAAATATGCATCTATTTGGCATTAGGTAATAACAGAAAAAATTATAGAAAAATGTTGAAGGTTTTTCTCAATAAATTTATGAAAACTTGAAATAATGATATAAAAAACATTTTAACTACTGACTTTTACAAATAGGCCATATCAATGTAATATACATTCATTCAACTATGAAGAAAAAAGACAAAATAATGACGCTAAAAAAAGGAAACGGTGACAAAACAAAATTATATTATAGATATACTAAAAAAAGTCACAATAATGATTGAAATGTTTATGTCAACGAATAAACAAAGTAAAATACAGAAAAATGCTTACTAAAACCAAAGATTGGCCTGGAAAGCCATTTATTCCACATATTAATTTGTTAATTTGTTTTAGGCCTATACTATATACTACATAATATTTTTATGTTTTTGTAGGTAGTAGATTGGAGAGGCAACGATTGGTTCAGAGATTCTAAAATACCAGCAGCTCATCCAAATTCAAGATTTTGTACTCCTGCTAAACAATGTCCTATTATTGATCCTTATTGGGAAGATCCAGCTGGCGTTCCAATCGACGCTATACTATTCGGAGGTCGAAGACCGCAAGGTGTACCTTTAGTTTATCAAGCCCGAAACTGGCAACATGGTGTCTTTATCGGTGCTGCAATGAGATCCGAGGCTACAGCCGCTGCAGAACATAAAGTATAGTGAAATACTAGTTTTAACACACACAGCAATATATTTAATTATTATTTATAATTATTTCCAAAACATATATGCCTATAAAGTTTCTCTAGAACACAAATAAATTTCTTAAATGAACTAAAGAATGACTGAATGGCTTAAGTGGTTAAAAAAAGCCAAAGTCATACTTTCTGTTTCATTTTGATTTTTTATTGTTTAATTATTATAAACTATGTATTTCTATTAGTCTATTTCATTATGCTTTTAATTAAAGTGAACTGATTTAATTCAAAGCAATATCCAGTTTTCTAATTAAATTCCTGTTTAAATGAAAAAGTGTTCAGATCTAGTTAGATTTTGGTTTACAAAGCATAGAAAATAAAAGTTGCTTAGATTTTTATTTTATAATTCAATATCTAAGTGTCCAATATCTAAATCTATATAGGGTGATTTGCACAAAACTTAACAGCTTAATATCCTAAGATGTACGTGTGCACAATTTTTTATTCGTTCTAGATTTGTATTTATTTTATGTCTTAAGGGGATGCTGGAGTGAAAACCGAACTCCGATGCGAAAGCGCCATCATTTCGATGGTACTAAAAATGAAAATGACATTATCGGCGTAGCCTACGGACCTACCCCGCGTAGGTCCGTGTGTACGCATTTATTTCTAGTGGTAACACACTACACTGACGTGTGGTCTGTGTACGTGTTATCGGATAGTTTGTAAACAAACGATGCTTGCGCTTGTTTCCTCGACTAAAATTTCGTCGCAAGGCTGCAATATAGAGTCCGAGAAGACATAGGCGTATACAAGGTGTCAAATAAATATGAACTAAATATGACAAAATAATAAATCAAAAATATACTATATATATCACTGAAGAAAAATGTCATATACTTTTCTTATTTTTATCCTTATGTAGTAAATACAAAATAACTAATTAATAAATTAATTAATATATACATATACATATATATTGAATAAATAGTTATTTTTATTTTGTATTTTATATGATAATGACTGAAATAATGAGAGTATATATCGTTTCACTCATTATATAAAATACAAAAAAAAGGTAATTATATTCAATATGTATGTATTGAATAATTAATTAACTTATTTATTTATTTTGTATTAATTACATAAGAATAAAAATAGAGAAAACATATAACATTTTTTTTCAATTAAATATATAGTATTATATATACATTTTTTAAATAAAATATTTTATTATATCTAATTTATATCTATTAGACACCTTGTACAAGTCTATTTCGTCTGGTATGTATATCATACAGCCATACGAATTTCAATCGCGAGGAAAAAGGTACGAACCTTATAAATTATCCGATAAAACATAAACAGACCACACGTGTAGTAGATTACTAACTAAAAGAAATACGTATTTCTTAAAGTCTGATTAGATCGCCTCTGACAATATTTCTTACAATTTGCCAGCTCACGAATAAATCGTCTTTGGCTCTCTTTTTTCTAAATTGTCAGCTGACGTTAGATCGCCTCCAACTATATTTATTAAAAATTGTCAGCTGACGCTAGATCGCCTCTGGCTTTTCTAACTCTACATCGCCAGGATACATTAGATCGCCTCTGGCTTTTCTATTTCTACATCGCCAGGATACGTTAGATCGCCTCTGGCATTTCTATTTCTACATCCCCAGCACACGTTAAATCGCCTGTGGCTTTTCTATTTCTACATCGCCAGCACACGTTAAATCACCTTTGGCTTTTCTTATTTTTTTTTTGTAAGATACTTTTATTACATAATGTGCTTTGTGTATATGTATATATTATGTATATTATGTGCTTTATATTATCTATATTCATATCAAAATATTTTTCTAAAAAGTTGACACTATTTTGTATACTTTTTTTACAATAAATGTATATGATATATGCCATATTTTTATTTCTAAAGCATGAAATATTAAGATATTTTTAATTTCTTGTGTCTGTCATTTGTAAAAAAATCTTGATAAAAGAAACAACATTAATTTTGCGACTTGCAATAATCTGTTTCAATATATGCTTCTTTTAAATACTTAAAATTAGCTTTATTTTATGTGCTTAACTTGATATTTAAAATACATATCAAAATTGAAAATGTATTTCTATTAC